ATAGTGTTCCAGTCACCAGAGGTCAGTCATCGGGTTTCCATCAGGGTCTAGGACAGCCTTTTGTCCTAGGGTGCTGATGTGAGTCCATTCTTCAGCTGTGAAAAGAACCCTGAGAATCTGCTGGCAATCATCCCAAGTGGGGCGGTGAGTTGAGAAAATAGATTCTAGCAGGCTAATGAGATTTTCTGGGTCCTTAGAAAATGAGGAATTTTGTCCCTTCCAATTATAAAGGTCAGAGAAAGGGGCATAGATAAATATGAGGCTCCCGGGTCATGGTGTTTGGGGACCTCCTGGAGGGGACATAAGGTGGAAGTGGAGTCAGACCGTGAGGGGTTGGCTTATAAGGGGCTCCGGCCGATGAAGGGGAGCAGTTGGTTTCTCAGGCGGGGGAGGCTGCTTGGACGCAGCTCGCCTGAGGTTTTGGTTTCTCTTAAAAGGTGTCAGGAGCGGTGCGTCTTCAGACTGTTGTTGATTAAAAACTTTAAGAAAACGTTTAATCCAAGGTGGAGAGTCATATATCAAATCAACCCATATTAAGATATAGACAGATTGATCAGGATGGGCCAGGGGACCAAAAACATACCTCTGGACTGCTTGCACTATTTCCAGGTCAAAGCTCCCGATGGGGGACCACTCAGGAACACCTTGAGGCCATTCTAAAGAAGCCAAAACTTGCAAGCGCCTGGGGTGAACAGGTTTCCCATACCCCTCAGTTCTCCTTTTAAAATCTTTAAAATGTTCCAGGACTAGACTCAGTGGAGTTAGTGGGATGGATGTACTTTGTCCCATTTTTGTCTCTTGTGATTCCTTGTGAAAGAAAAAGGTCAAAAGAAAGGAAGACAGCACACAAAAAGAGAAAAAGACAATGGACAGGACAACAAGACACAAGACTCTTTCTCCTGGGTTGGCAGATCATCTGGGATCTAGTAGGAAACTGTTATCACTTAACGCATAGCCGAAAGGATGACAGTTGTCTGTAAAACCAAAAAGGCCACATAAGATCGTTCTTACAGAGGATAACAGTCTATGTCAAACTAAGAAACCAATTGTCCTGTACAAATCAAAATTCAAGTGGACTACGAGGGTCCCAAATTGGAGGGCATTCCACTCCATCAAATTCATGCGCACAATTGAAATCAGAATGAAATAAGGGATACTCACAGTTAGAAGCAGCAGCGGTCAAAAGCCAAGAACAGTAAGGGGATTCCATGGGAGTTAGCTGAATAGGGAGGGTAAAAAGGGGCAAAAAAGAGAAAAGGGGGCTCTTGGAGTAATCCCGGACGAGCCCCCAAATGTGACACCCCCAGATGGTAGATCACCTAATATTGTGGTCTTACGTGTCTTTTTCATTGCATATTTTTCTAGGAATGTATTTTGCCATCTTGTTATGATTTGTTCTTCCCTATAATACAGAATACAGAGAGGATAGATATACATGCAGAAATTCACACATGGGAAGAATTTTTTAAACTATTTACGGGAACAGATTATATAATGTAAGATGTAATGAACAGATACTCTGAAGAAGAGACACTAACAAACCCAATGCTATTCCGTAGCATTATGATATAAAATCTAGTAATACTATTAATCACTGTTCACAGTGATATTAGTCTAGTCTCTTAAGTTCAATTTCAGCATTCAGTAAAGATAAGGACAGCTACTACGAAGAGAATGAGAAACATTATGGTAGTCATTAGTGTCTTCCTCAATGTCAGGTCTTGAAGACTTAAAAAGCTTCACCATCCTGTAATGATTTGATTAGTTCTATAATGTTCAGTATGTATTCAATGTGTGCGAAGATGGGGACAACTGTTTGGAAGAAAACTAGAGACAATTAGGTAGACAGTGAAGATCTCCAGTGGACTTGCTTTGAAATCTGTATTTCTTTAAATTGTTTCTTTTTGAACTGTTTTGTTCTGTTTTGATATGTTTAATCTTACCGTCTTTAAGATAAAAAACAAGTGTGTAGGACTGATAACCATATTAACTAAGTTTTTGTTGGATCACTGAGCAGAAATTTTGGCAGTGTCACTATTTGAATGTCCAGGATTCACAGACTCCCGTTATCAGCAGCCACGGTCTCAGTGCGACCTTGGATGTCCGGCCGTGCCTAGTACAGCGCAATGAGCATGTGGGGCTTCAGCTCTCCACCTGCACTCTTCCTTCCTCTTCCTAGTCTTATTTTTCCCTTCGGTTACTGCCTTGGTTAATAAGAATCGTTATCCATTCATCTGGCCCTCTCCATGTTGTCATGTTTTAGCATCTGATCTGATTTCTCCGCAGATACTCTGCACCCAGCCCCTAGCAAGCTGCCATTTTTTTCTCCCCTGATTTCCTTTCTAAATGTTTTGCCTTAGGGCTGGCACCATAGCTGGTCAGTATTCCGTAGGCTTTCCTTTATGCACCGCATGCTTCTGTCCCCAGAATAAAGTTATTCCTAGCCCAGGATTTAAGGCCTTGGTCTGCATGCTTGTTGGCATCATCTGTGTTTTTCCTCATTGTTGCTTCCTGTCTGGGTTTGTGATCTGGAGTCTAACCCTTCCTACCCTCAGCATTGTTCCCTGCTTCTCTGTTTTTGAGTGGGGGAGTGCCAGGTCTCATAGTTCAGGCTGTGCAGCCTAGGGTGGCTCCTAACTCGTGATAATCCTCCTGCATCAGCTTCCTACTGCTGGGATTACAGGTATGCACCACCACGTCCAGCTCTCCCTAACTCTTACGTCTCAGAATATAGAAATCCATCTTCCCTTATATCTATAGTACAGTGTTCTTTATTTTGCCTGGACCCTTCTCAAGAGTACTATTTAAAAATTCATAATACAAAATGCATAGGAACTACAAGGAAACTCGTTCTATTAAAAATAGTTTTACTGAAATATATATGTGTATTAACATTAAATGGTAAGGCTCTGTTTTAATGTAGGAGCTTTCTTGCTTTCTTGCTTTATTTTCCCTCTAGTCTTTCTGAGACAGGGTTCTGCTGTGCAGTTCAGGCTGGCCTTGAACTCACTTTGTAGCCTACACTGACCTGGAATTCACAGTAGTGTTTTGTCTCCACCTCAGGAGTACTGGGATAACAGGTGTGTGCCATTACACCCAGTCTAATGTAGGATCTTTAAGTTGAAAAGCATTCCTTCAGTGATAGGAGAGACATTGAGGTTGCATTTTATTACTTAAAAAAATTTTTTTTTTGTCTTTTTCCTTTTTATCGGTACCGGGGATCGAACTCACGACTGCCTTCTTGCAAGGCAGGCGCTTATGCCACTGAGCTAAATCCCCAGCCCCCTACTTACAAATTTTTAGAAGTAATTTTATTACTTACAGTGGCCTTACAGGGTACACAATTTACCTGGGAACTACATCTGCAGAGGTTAGGGAGCGTGAGGGGAGTCACATGCATGCACACACCCTGCCAGACCCGTGGACCAGTACCTTTATTGAATTCAGTGTTAATAGTTTTCTCTTGGACGGTGCTAATTACTGGATTTAAAACCATCAGGCGAGCGTTGTAGGAGGTCACGTGACTGAGAGGTGGTCTTCACTGTGGCCGGGCAGAGTGTGAGGACCAACAGGGCCTGTCTGGTGTGGGCTGGATCTGAAGAGCTGGTTTTCTTTTTTTTAAATTTTATTTAAAAGGAAAAAGAGAAAAAACAAAACAGAACAAAGCGGTGTAAGGGTACAAGTAATACAGAACTACAAAAAAAAAAAAAACAGTAAGAAATCACCAGTTAATAGATTATACATTATCATCTTAGAGATAGTTGCTCAAGTCTCAGTATCAAAGCATACAAAGTGAACATTCAAACAGAGAGACTGCAAACAGTTGTGTTCAATGATCCAACCAAAAACATTAATATGGTCAGCTATGTAACACCCCTAAACACACTCGCAGTTGTATCCTTTAGGAAGAGCTGGTTTTCATGACGAAGTTGTGTAAGGCACACATCTAAGTCACCCATGTTAAGGAGGTGGAAGGAAGCAGAGAACTGGGCACTGCCTGGGTCGTGGGGCCTGCCCTGATGCAACCTTTTATACGCACAGGGGACCCAAGGCCACGCACAGCCACAGGTCACCACCGATCTAGAGGTGGCTGCTGGAACCATTGTTCCTGCCTTTTTTCTTTTTGTTTGTTGCTTATTGAGGTGGAGTCTTGCTCTATCAGAGTAGCCTGGAACCTAACTGTGTAGCCCGGCCAGCCTTGGGCGCATGACCACCGCCTCCTGCCCTGTGCTTAGGAGTTAGTGATGTGTGTGGGAGGTATTTAAAGACAAGTTCGCAGGTATGATGTGAAACCAAAATCAGGAGTTCGTGGGACCCAGCTACTGCTGACACGATCGCTGTTTGTGCTCACCTTTGAAACGGACTCTGCATTTCATTTCTAGGTTAGTCAAAATGATGATGTAAGTTTTTTCTCCTTCTGTGTTCACAAGCCACTGTGATTTTACCCCCAAACAAATTGTGTCTCTTAGGTTATAAACAGTTTCACTCCAAGACCTTCTAATAGCAGGCAAAAAAAAGGCTTGCTGACTGGCAGGTGCTGCTCTGAGATGTGCTGCCTTTCTTCTGTTCCAGCAGACTGTTCTGTCCTGCTCGTGTCCCGTCCTCGTGCCTCTGTGTGGGTCCTCGCCTCTTAGTGTAGACCTTCCTTCCAGGGTCTAAGCTGGTAGGAGCGGGAGTATGAGATTGTGTTTTGGACTCTGTCCTCTTGGCTTGAGGGAGGTAGGTGACAGTCATCGTGAAAACACTGGCACGAGGGAGCACAGTTGTGTGTGGCTTCACTGGGCCTTTTGCTCGTAGACGGGAAGCTCAGGCACAGAGCTGACAATGAAGGGTGTCCTTATTCTGCTGCTGGGTTACTCCTGCCCGCCCAGCAGAGGTGTCGTGCTTCCCTCCTGTGTGTAGGAAGGAAGCCGCTAGGCAGAGTCTTCTGTTGGGGACGGATGGAAGGTGCATCTTGGCCTGGGAACTGGCTCATAGACTCTTACTCCCCCTTCCTTTAGGGCAAGCTGGCCTCGTTTTTCCTGTCTCGCGTGCATTCCTTGAGCCCTCAGCTCCAGCAGGTAAAGGGAAGGAGGAGAGGGACGGAACTGGGTTCTTAGCTGGGAGCGCTGGTTATGGTTCTTTCTTAGCTCCCTCCCTGTTTCCATTCCCCGGTCCTGACTTCTGCTCTTTGGGCCTCTCTGCCTCACAATCCCTTAACCTCCCTTTGATCGCCATGTCTTGCGCATTAGTGGGGTGGAGGGGGGGCCCTGTTGCTGGGCCAGGTTCCACCTGACCGGGTGTCTGCCCTTCCTTGGCAGCTGGCCTGTGAATGTTACTCCAGGGTTCCCTCGTTAGGGGCTGGCTTTTCCCAGGGCCTGAAGCACACAGAGAGCTGGGAGAAGGAGCTGCACAACCTGCTGGCCTCGCTGCACAGCTTGCTGGGGGCCCTGTACGAGGGAGCAGAAGCAGGTGGGCCAGGGCTGGTGGTTAGTAGAATGCACTGGAGGCTGGGCAGCAGAGGCTGGGAGGGCAGCCCAGACAGGTGGAGCAGGTGGTTTCCAGGCAAGATGGTGGGCACATACAGGGTCACCTACCACAAGTTGAGACGGGACTGGAGAGAGACCTAGAGGGTACACGGTGGTTCTGTTGCTGCCCAGCTCCTGTGCAGAGCGAAGGCCCTGGAGTGGAGATGCTGCTTTCCCACTCAGAAGAAGGGGATGCCCACGTCCTCCTCCGGCTTCGGCAGAAGTTTTCGGGACTGGCCCGCTGCCTGGGGCTGATGCTCAGGTGTGTGGGTGCTGGAGGGACCTGCTCTGGAGCAGGAGGGATGAGGGGAGCTTCGTGTCATCCTGGGAAGGAGGGGGAAGCGGGCATGCAAGGTCTTGCTGGGCCTGTATTGAGGGTCTTGGCTCTGCTTCTCTACAGCTCTGAATTTGAGGCTCCTGTGTCCGTGCCGGTGCAGGAAGTCTTGGATCTCATCTGCCGGATTCTCAGCGTCAGCAGCAAGAATATTGTGAGTGGGCTTTGTCTCTGTATGGATGCTGGGTGTTTAGGAAAGCTCTGTAACCTGAATGTCCTCAGTGTCATCCCTGAAGTTGTCTCAGATAAGATAGTTCTTAGCCAGTACTTGGGGGTCCCACCAAGGATGTAGCTCAGTAGTACGGTGCTTGCCTGGCAAGTGTGAGGTTTTGAGTTTGATTCCTGGTTCCCACCCCCACCCCCCAAAAAAAAAAAAAGAGAGAGAGAGAAATCACAGTATTCGGGAGCCTCAGTCAGGAGGCTCTCTGTGAGTTCAAGGCCAGCCGGAGCTCGAGAATGAGAGGCTAGCTCACCCCTCCCCCCCAAAAAAAAAGCAAAACAAGAACTGCTGCTTTCCAATACCGTGACTCCCTGCCTCCTGCCGTCATGGATTAGCTCGTGCAGAGCAGCACCACTGTGGCCATTGCTTCCAGAAGGCAGGGTGAATTTGGGGGTCAGGTGAGTTGTCACTGAGAGACTCGGCCGTCTCCCTTCCCTTCAGCCGAGACCGCCGTGGAAGGTGAGGCGGTGCTGATGAGGAGCCGTGGCCCAGGGTTGCAGTGTGCAGCCGCAGGTGTCTGCCCCGGCTGTGCTGCTGTCGCTGCAGTCCGCTCCCTCCCTTAGCCCTTCTGTTGCTGGTTTTTTCTCCAGAGCTTGCTTGGAGATGGGCCTCTGCGGCTGCTGCTGCTACCCTCTATCCACCTGGAAGCCTTGGACCTGCTCTCTGCTCTCATCCTCGCGTGAGTGGACTCGGGCAGGGTCTGAAGAAGGATCTGGGGCATGCCGATGTGAGGGTCACCATCCCATCTCTGCCCCCAGGTGTGGAGGCCGGCTTTTACGCTTTGGAGCCCTGATCAGCCGCCTGCTCCCCCAGGTCCTCAACGCCTGGAGCATTGGCAGGGATACCCTCTCTCCAGGCCAGGAGAGGCCTTACAGGTAATCGGGAAGGGGCAATACAGAAAGGATGAGAAAGCATGCAGACCCGTCAGGAGTCCAGCACCTCGCCTCTCCATTCATAATCTGCCCTCTTCACACCACAGCACCATTCGGACGAAGGTGTATGCTGTGTTGGAATTGTGGGTACAGGTGTGCGGGGCCTCGGCAGGGGTGCTTCAGGGAGGAGCCTCAGGAGAGGCTCTGTTCACTCACCTGCTCAGTGACATCTCCCCACCAGCTGATACCCTTAAGGTAAGTCTCACCTTAGTTCCTACCCCTGGCTTCATTGACCTCTGTCTTAATATACTTCCTTGCCAAACACTTTCCTCACTGACCTGCTTTTCTGTGTACCTCTGTGTGTATTTCTCTTTATCAGCTCCGCAGTCCTCGGGGGAGCCCTGATGGGGGTTTGCAAACAGGGAAGCCCAGTGCACCCAAGAAGCTAAAGCTGGACATGGGGGAAGCTGTGGCGCCACCCAGCCAGCGGAAAGGAGATAGCAATGCCAACAGCGACGTGTGTGCGGCCGCGCTGAGAGGTGGGTGAGCCTCCTGTGCACCCTGTAGTGCCAGGGTTACGGCTCCAGGCCATTTGGTGACGTGGAGGGTGTGCACGAGGCGGCAGAGGTTAGGAGAAGGTGCTGAACCAGCCGTGGGATCTGCGGTGGAAACGGGGTGGGACAGGCCTGTGCCTTCTTTACGCCAGGCGTAGGCCTAGCCCTTGGGGGAAACCCCGGCCTCTGAGGCTCCGCTCCTTGATGGGCAGGCTGCCCAGGGGGCTTCTTGTTCCGGTGCAGCCGTTGCTCTGTAAATGAGGTTAGTAGTCAGATGCTGTGTAGTCAGTTGGCAACTTTGCTTTGGGTCTCTCTCCTCTGTCCTACTGTCCTACCCCACCTGAAGGGGAGCGCTCTCAGCAAGTGTGTAAATGCGTGTGTGGAATGTCCTGCCTCCAGTGTACCCCTTAAGTATTGGCAGCAGCCCTGCATAGTGGAGGCCCTTTCTGACTGAGCTGGACACTCCCTGTGGGCTGTGTGCTCCTGACAGTGGTCCGCCCTCCCCTCTCCTCTCCCCTCTCCTCTGCCCTCTCCTCTGTTCTCTTTTTTTCTTGGCAGTCCTGGGAATTGAACCAGACCTTTTACGTTTTGGGTAAGTAGTTCACCACTGAGCTACGTCTGCAGCACTTGTTCAAGAGAAAGTCTTGCTGAGTGTCCAGCTCCAGCTCACACTTGGGGTCTTTCTGCCTCGTCCTCCTCATGCCCCATCGTGCCCTGCCCCTTACACACCATTCTCTTCCGCAGGCCTCAGTCGGACCATCCTAATGTGTGGGCCACTCATCAAGGAGGAGACTCACAGGGTTAGTGGGGCCTGGTCTCCCCGGAGCCTGGGGAGGGGGCTGCTGCTGTGTGCACCGGGGGTGTGTACCCCAGAAGGGGGTGCCCTGAAACCTGGGAGGAGGCTCTGGAGAACGGTTGGGTGCTTGAGGTGATGACGTTTCAGTGTGTTCTGTGTACTTTGCAGAGGCTGCATGATCTGGTCCTCCCCCTGGCCATGGGAGTTCAGCAGGGTGAGGTCCTGGGCAGCTCCCCGTACAGCAGCTCCTGCTGCCGACGTGAGCTCTACCGTCTGCTCCTGGCCCTGCTCCTGGCCCCTTCTCCTCGCTGCCCGCCTCCTCTCTCCTGTGCTCTTCAGGCTTTCTCCCTTGGCCAGAGAGAACACAGCCTCGAGGTAAGTGCTGAGCGTGCCCCAGTTCCCTCGGGGTCTCAGGCCCAGGCCCGTGACACTCTCTCTGCAGGGCTAATGCTCATGCTTGTCTTTTCTTTCCACAGGTCTCCTCTTTTTGCTCAGAAGCACTGGTGACCTGTGCTGCTCTGACCCACCCCCGAGTTCCTCCCCTCCAAACTGTGGGCCCTCCCTGTCCCACATCTTCCGCAGTTCCGCCTCCTGAGGCCCCATCTCCATTCAGAGCCCCACCGTTCCATCCCCCAGGCCCCATGCCCTCCGTGGGCCCCATGCCCTCCGCAGGCCCGTTACCTGCTGCAGGACCCATGTCTTCAGTAGGTCCAGTGCCCTCTGTGGGCTCCATGCCCTCGTCAGGTCCCATGCCATCTGGAGGCCCTGTGCCCCCAGCACGCCCGGGGCCTCCCGCCACGGCCAATCACCTTGGTTTGTCTGTCCCGGGCCTGGTTTCTGTTCCTCCTCGGCTTCTTCCTGGCCCTGAGAACCACCGTGCGGGTTCCAGTGAGGACCCTGTCCTTGCCCCTAGTGGGACTCCTCCGCCCACCATACCCCCAGATGAAACTTTTGGGGGGAGAGTGCCCAGGCCGGCCTTTGTCCACTACGATAAAGAAGAGGCATCCGATGTGGAGATCTCCTTGGAAAGTGACTCTGATGACAGCGTGGTAATTGTGCCCGAGGGGCTACCACCGCTGCCCCCACCTCCACCCTCAGGCACCAGTCCTCCCCCCGTGGCCCCTGCCGGGCCACCAACAGCCTCCCCTCCTGTGCCAGCCAAGGAAGAGCCTGAAGAACTTCCTGCCACCCCAGGACCTCTCCCTCCGCCCCCGCCTCCACCCGTCCCTGGTCCTGTGACACTTCCACCACCCCAGTTGGTTCCTGAAGGAACTCCTGGAGGGGCAGGACCCCCAGCCTTGGAAGAAGACTTGACGGTTATTAATATCAACAGCAGTGATGAGGAAGAAGAGGAAGAGGACGAAGAGGAGGAGGAGGAGGAGGAAGAAGAGGAGGAGGAGGAAGACTTTGAGGAAGAGGAAGAGGAGGAAGAAGAGTATTTGGAAGAAGAAGAGGAGGAGGAGGAGTTTGAGGAAGAGTTTGAGGAGGAGGAAGGTGAGTTGGAGGAAGAAGAGGAGGAAGAGGAGGAGGAGGAAGAGGAAGAAGAGTTGGAAGAGGTGGAAGACCTGGAGTTTGGTCCGGCGGGGGCCGAGGTAGAGGAGGAGAGTGGACCACCGCCCCCCACCCTGCCTCCCGCGCTGCCCCCTCCGGAGTCCCCCAGAGTGCCTCCTGAGCCGGAGCCCGAACCCGAGCTGCTGTTGGAAGTGGAGGAGCCCGGAACTGAAGAGGGGCCTGGGCCTGCCGAGACAGCCCCCACCCTGGCTCCTGAGGGGCTCCCCGCCCAGGGGGAGGTGGAGAGGGGCGGGGAGAGCCCCTCGGCAGGGCCACCTCCTCCAGAGCCAGCCCAGGAAGAGCCCTCTGCGCCCCCGGCCCTGCAGGAGGAGGAGACCGAGGGCGGCAGAGACAAGGTGCCACCTCCTCCAGAGACGCCCATGGAAGAACTGGAGACGGTGGCAGAGGCCACCGCTGTGCAGGAGAAGGTGAGTGGGCAGGGCGCGGACCTTCGAGCGGACGGCCGGGGCTGGGCTAGGAAGCTGCGGCCTGCTCCTCTGTGCGCGGGAGAGGGAGGGGAGGGGAGGGGAGACCCTTCTGAGCCTCATGTCTTTGTCCTTAAAAGGAGGAGGACGCCACTGCTGCCATGCTGGCTGATTTCATCGATTGTCCCCCTGATGACGAGAAGCCACTGCCTGCCGCGGAGCCTGACTCCTAGCTCCTTTCCACCCATCGCCTTGTTCCAATAAAGTTGCGTCCTGAGATACTGCTGCTGCTTCCAACTCTTGCCACACTCTGTCCCCAGCCGGGAACCTGGGTGGCTGCTGAGGTTTCCAAGGTGTCTGTGGCCTCCAGGTGGCCCCAGAAGTCTCCTGACTGCCTGCTGTCTCCGGTGGCCAGAGGAGCACCCGCCCTCGGCTCTCCTGCTTTACTCTTGAGATCTGGGTCTCTTCCGGTCAGTGTGGGCCACTTCAGCACTTAGGTTCAGGGCAGGCCGTGCCCGGAGGCCTGAGACCAGGGCCATGGGCTCGAGGTGGAGGCCTGGTAGTGTGTGAACGGAAGTGAAGTGCTTTGGAGATGTGGGGAAGGGAGTCATGTCTCCTAACTGCACACCTCCTGAAGGACTTCTTGTAGGGGCAGCATTTGAGCTAATTTTTGGAAACTTTAATAGGGTTTAAAAAAGTATTGCCCAAACTTACCATATTAAGAAATTCCAACCTCTTAAAAAAGATGTCAGGCTGGTGTACTGTGCAGTGTCTGCCTGAATTCCTTAACAGGCATTCAGCCAGGGTAGCGTGTATGTCTGGGTAACTGTATCTGTATGGAGACAGGTATTTCTAATTTCTCTGAGACTGAAAGTAACTCGCAGACTTGGCCTTTCTGCCCCTAAATTCTTCAGCTAAGAACACAATCACAATGCCTTGCTAAGTCTAAGAAAGCAGGAGTGACTCATTAATACTGACGGTCACTCGGTGTGATGGTGGCTTGACTTCACCGTGTGTAGGCTGCCATCTGCTTTTAAACTGACGGTGAGTGGCTTCCGACGGTCAGAATTGCATTCTGCCTTGTGCTTCCGGCATGGTGTTCAGTGAACTACAGGAGAGAGCACTGTCACAAAACAGGAATTGTAGGTGATTTGACACAAGTGTGGGATAATGTGCTTTGAACACATTTAAGATAGGCCTGGCTAAGCTGTAATTGGTGGGTTAGGTGTCTGAGACTGGGTCTTGCTTTGTAGTTCAGCTGGCTTTGGACTTAGTGTGTATTCTAGGCTGGCTTCCAGCTTACGGTGACCTTCCTGCGGCAAACTCCCAAGTGCTGGAGTCACAGGTGTGTACCACCGTGCCCAGTGGTTTAGGGGTATTAAGTGCATTTTTCAAAATATTTTCAAACTGATGATGAACTTACTGATACAGAGAAGCGTCTGTATTGTATATGTTACAATAATCAAATTTCCCTAGTTATTCCCAAACTGTTTAGGCTTCTCTGCCTTCCTGAGTTCCAGAGGAAGTTTTTATTAGGTGGAAAAGACTGTTCACCGCTTTTTTATCATTTGCAAGGACAGAGGTGCCCAAGCGTCAGAACCCCCGCAACAGTGGCTTTGCAGAAGGGAAAGAACCCGGTTAGTGGAAACTATAGATACATTGACCCTGGCAAGGGATACAGCGAATGTTTCCAATTCCAGCTTTGTTCTGAATAGATGATATATTCACATGGCTCAGAGCCCAGAGACACAAAAGGTGTATTGAGAGCTGTGCTTGCTGTCTTCAGCCACCCAGATTCTCTCCCGCAAGCAGTGGCTGAGAGGTGGCTGCCTGTTTCTGCAGAGATATTGTGTGTTTACAAGCAAATATGTATAGTCTTCTCATTTTCGTAGTACACAAAGTCGGTGTATTATCAGTTAACTCAGAAATCGCTTTCACTGTTGAGGGCATTTATTCATTAAGCAAACATTTATTGAGTACTAATTATGTAGTAGAGGGGCTGGGGATTTAGCTCAGCGGCATAAGCGCCTGCCTTGCAAGCAGGCAGTTGTGAGTTCGATCCCTGGTACTGATAAAAAGGGAAAAAAAAGTTTGTAATTATGTAGTAGGCACTATCATATATCTCATAAGCATGTACGTATGTGTCTATCTCAGAGTAACTATGGCTCCACAAGGGGTTGCGGAGACAGTGCAGAGGTGGGTACAGTGGTGCCGGCTACCTGGCTTCCCTTGGAGTTAGCTTGTCTTCGGTGACTGCAGTGTGATGACCAGAGACACGCCGGCAGTCTCACAGTAGTGGACGCCTTTCCAAGCAGCAAGCCCAGTGCTGAGCAAAACGGGCAAAAAGTGCTGCCCAGCCCTAGTGAGATCGCATAGCTGTCTGGAGGGCCGGAGGGACGGGTGGAAGTCCTGCTCGGTGGTGCTGCTCCTCAGCGTTGCCCAGTGTGCCCAAGCTAAGGGGAGCCGTGTGTGTGTGTGTGTGTGTGTGTGTGTGTGTGTGTGTGAGAAAGGCTGGGAAGGGGAGGTGGATACAGACAGGTTGCGAGCCGCGGGGTTCTGGGGAGGTGTCCGGCAGAGGCCCAGCGAGTGCGGTGCGCGTGCCACACACCTGTGAAGCAGCACTTGGGGGGAGGTGGAGGCAGCCTGCGCCACGCGGCGAGGCCAAGTGCAGAGAGGCAGGAGCGCTGGGTGTTGGGGCCGGCGGGCTGGGGAGGCTGGGGAGGGACCGGTGGGTGGAGGGGCCGGTGGCTTCTCTGGGGGGACAGGAGGTGCTGGAGGAGGACTGGCCGGGGCTGTGTGCTCACAGGGTGCGTTTGGGAATGCCCTGCCACAGTGCGGCGGAAAACTGGGCTCCACATGAAACTTCTGAGATGAAATGGGCAGAAATTTGATTTCTGAATTTCACTTCATACTGAGCTTCCTCATTCCCTTAATACAGCTACTTAAAACTACGCCATAATTTAAAGATTCAGTCCTTGGGCCGTGGATATTTAGAGTATCTTTTGCTGTCATGAACATATGTATATCTGTTGTTAAATGTCAGTTTGCCCCCACTGCTGATGTTTCCCACATCTTTGCCAAGCGTTTATTGTGAGGCATGGCAGGATGTCAAATGGCAAATCAGTGTTGTTTGTTTTTCCAAATGGACCTTCACCATGTAGCCCAGGCTGTCCTGGACTGCACGCCACCGCATCTGGCTTGTAATAAATACTGTTTTGTCTTTAAAGTACGTCAGTCGGGGTGAAGCGGTACATACGTTGCATGTGGTCATCCCCAAATCATTCTCTTCATACTGGTTTAATGGTTTTAGTTTTTAAAAAATTTTCATCCTTTTGAAATTTCCCCAAGCCTGAAGCATGAAGTACAAATCCGGCTTTATCATCCACTCAGATGTCACTTCGCATCTTGCTCATAAGCTCGGTTTCTGCATGTTTGTGTCTGTTTCTTCTGCGCTGTTCCATTGCTCTGCTGTGTGCAGGGTTTGTTGTGCTTTGCGATAGGATTTAATGTCTGCTGAGAAGGCAGGTGGTTACGAGTGTTTTGGATTGATCCAGGGAAAACGGCAGGGACAGAACAGGGCCGAGTGCAGATGGGACCGCCAGGTTTGTCCAGCGGTTTGGGTTGGCAGGGGGCAGTAAGGCCAGCACATGGGCCTCAGCAGGCTCCTCAGCTCCAGTGACCGCTGGGAATCTCGGTTACTCAGCAGGAGTAATCGCCTCCAGGAGGCAGCAAATCCGAGTTCTGGAGAGAGTGTCTTAGAGCGTGCTTCAGACTCTGGTCAGTTACTGTACGTAGTTTAACTATAAATCACTTTATTAAGTATTCATGAAACAAAGTTGGGAGGCGGTTTGGAAAAAAAACCCCAAAATTGGATTTTTAAAAATTAAGTTTGTACCGGGGGCTGGGGATTTAGCTCAGTGGCATAAGCACCTGCCTTGCAAGCAGGCGGTCATGAGTTCAATCCCTGGTACCGGTAAAAATGAAAAAGACAAAAAAAAAAAAAAAAAAAAAAAAAAAAAAAAAATTAAGTTTGTACCAATAAACATTTTAGGTATACAAATGATTGCATTCATCATAGTGAGTTTGTATCTGTACATAGTAGATCTTGATTCTTTTTCCCCATCCCTCTGCCTTCCCTTCCGCCCTTTCCCCCTCGTTCACAGAAGCTTCGTTTCCATTTTTCCCTTATTTTTTTTCATCATTTTTTCTTTTTCCCTTCCTTGCATTTCCTCTTCTTCCTCCCTAGTTCCCCTTCCCATTTGAATATTTTCTTCCTGTTTCATAGTTTTTTTTTTAATCAGTACCGAGGATCGAACTCACAACCGCGCAAGCAGGCGCTTATGCCGCTGAGCTAAATCCCCAGCCTCCTTCCTGTTTCAGATTATCTATTACACATTTTGGTCCTTATTTTAAAATTTTGGTTTTTCACACCAGTGAAGTAGTGTGGTATTCGCATGTGTGTCTGACTTTTTTCACGTAAGGGTGTGATCTCAAGGTGGACTCTTACTAGAAGTGGGTGTTTATCCTTCTTTATGGCAGAGTAGGAGTCCGTTGTATAAAAATCCCCAGTCTTTATCCATTTGTTGGTTGATTGATGGCATTTGGGCTGCTTTCAAGAGTTGGATACTGCAGGCTCTGCTGCTGTGAAGCAGGCGGTGCGCGTATCACTGTGCTGTGCTTCTCATTCTTCGGGAAGATGCCAAGAAGAAACAGCTGGGTCTCATGGGACCTCTAGTGCTAAATGTGTGAGGAGTCTCCCCACTGGTTTCTGTAGTGGTTGCACCAGTCTACACTTCCACCGACAGTGGAGAAGGGTTCTTTTTCCCTGCACTCCCACCAGCATTTATAGCAAAGGTTGGAGCAGGTTGTGATGTTACATGCCTGTAACTCTAACACTTAGGAGGCTGGGGGAGGAGCATCAGTAATTCAAGGCTATCCTGAGCTACCTCGAGACCCCTGTCTCAAAAAACGAAAATTAAAAAACAGAAACCTGGCCTTGCACTACTGGAAAAAAGCTAGCAGGTAGAATTCCACAGAGGTGGGATTATGCCGTCTGTGGGACACTGGGCTGTATAAATGCAGCAGGAGGATGTGGTATAGCAGAAGCAGAGGCGTTCACAGAGGTCTGGGGCTCCGGTGACCTTGGAGAGGGGGAGCGGGGATGCAGCTGGGTGCGTCTGGGGCCACCCCAGCTGTGCCTGGCAGTTTGGGTTGTCTGAGAAGTGAGGGTTCCTTTCAGGTTTCCCCTTACGAGGGAAGTGACTTGTTCTGTTTCTGAT